GCTAATGAGATGTGAAGTAAACATTGACGTAAATAAAAACGAACCAAACAATATCTGCCCACACGTTGTTGACTAGATTGTAGCGATGTACATGTATTTGATCATTAAAGTCAAACACGATGCTTTTCACTTTTACGCATTCATATTTTTATCCGAACATATTTAAATTGCCTCAATTTATTCAACTACACAAATTTGAAATTTTCTCACAGTTAAGTTTGTGATCTTAAGAAATGTTTTTTTTTCATCACCAACTAGCATTTCAGGTAACCTATCTAAATTTTAGTTTATTTTTTTCCTGATATTACATTCTTGTCTGGTTTTAAAAGCTTGTGATACAGTTGTGTTTTGGTTTTATATCCATCCCGCCGGAGTTATCGTGTTATATCTCCGCTTCATGGTACATAAACACAGAAAAATCCAACAGAGTATTTATGTGACAAAATTTAATTTCTATGGAGACGAATTCTTGTGTTGTGTTAACGGGTGACTTATCAGTGCTGGTCTTTTTCATGTATAAGATAATGATCTGTGAGGAATCCCATATTCTTAGGTACCTGGGGTGTAGCTGGGGTATAATGAGGTCACCAGTGTGAAAGACATTTCCAGGGGTAGGAGGGACACAATACCTCACTTAAATGTCTAACCACATACTACACGGTTCAAACGTGTGTTAGGATTGCACGGGGACCACAGGATTTCATAAGTAGTGTGATTTTTAGAAGTCGTAATCTTCAAAAAACACCTTGGGTCACTTTTTAAAACGGTATGTATTTCGTTGATAATTTTTATGTGAACATTTTCCAAATCTGATGCTGTGTTTGTAATCTCAAAAGTTTTTTTCCATGGCTCCTACAGCTTCAATATACCAGTAAACATTGTAGCATTAAGATTTTCTAGAGCATATCATAACATTGTATTTTTTGTTATATTTAAGAAACGTGTTCCTGGGAGCCACTGTTATATTGGAACTGATAAAAATAGTGTTCTCCTGTAAAATTAAAAACCCATCATGGTTTAAAAGTTCAAACTTTTCCAATGGTTAATGATCCCTTCTACCTGAAGAGCTCTCTGTGATAACTTTCTTTCATCTTCCGTTTGATATCTGTTGCATTCTACAACTTAATTTCAGATCAGTAGCAATGATCTGTTAATCCGTATTTTATTGCGAAGTTGTCCGAGTCGTTACCATTCAGCTTTAACACGATACAAAAATTGAAAGTTGGGGTACAATTTTGAAATAGGCTATACTGCTGATGGACGTTTTCATGAATAAATTTCGGATGATACACAGGTAAGGGCCTGTCACAAGAGAGTGAATACCTGGAATGTCTCCATGGTGACAAATCAGTGTGCATGTCTTCTCGAGTCCTATGAAGTTCCCACACAAACTTTTATAGACAATTTGATATATTTAGCTGTGATTCTTTTTCTATCAATATTGATTGAAGATCGACGGAAATGATAATTCATTTTTATCAACGTTGAAATCCTTTGAGGTAAAAATGTGTACCGTATGTAACTTTTATTGATTTGAGGGAAATATTATCAGTGTTGTATTCCCTAGGGACATACATGACACGTGTAATTCATGTGTATGCATGCTGTCCGTTGGGTGCTTGTCAGCAGAAATGTTGTGCAGTATTGACATTAGATCGATTTTCGTTGTGAAGTGCAGTTTGCAGGTGTGTGTCAATCATTCATTGTGTTGCTGCCTCATGTTGCCGGGCAGTACGTTACTCATACATCATAGCCGTAGTATTGATTTTGTCCCACGTCATAAGAGCTGCTTTTGAAAATTCATAATTACATGTTATACAACAGGTAAAAATCGTTAAGAGTGCTAATCTGTCTACGTCAAGGTGGAAAGTACAACTGATTTTAAGGTAAAATAGTGGTTATCATATTTGTTTTGACTGGTGGAGTCTTTGTCATGTAAAAATGAAATTGATTTTAGGAATTAACGATATTAACATAATTCGTATTTAGTATATCTTCCTTAAAAAATGACTGTTAATGTATGTTACGAGGGAGGTGGATTGACTATTTGTGATATTTGTATCACTGTGATAGATTATTGTACCAGTAACTAGATTTGTTGTGATAGAAGCTCTACTACATGGGACTGGATAGGCTCCAGGATATTGGCTAGAACGTAAATTGATGTTTAATTATTTACATGTTTATGTAGAAATAGACCTTTGGAAATCTGTATGATCAATCAATATACCAAGACATAAGTGCACATGAATTATTAAAACAGTTGGTAGCTAAATATATATAGACGTTATTTCTGGACTCAAATGAAGTGTTTGAATTTTGTTATAAAGTGCAACCTGTCATTGTGGCTTGAGACGTTGTTGGTCTTCCCCATATAGCACTTGTCATATAGATATTTGAAACACCTAATAATTCATTTCAGATATTTTTTGCTGGATACCTGATATCAGTGCTGTATCTTTTGTCTTCAGTCTCTATTAAGTTTACAAATGTATTGTTCTAAAATGCCAATGAACTCATTTTGTAGATGTTTGAGTGACAATAGATGGGTTTTTAGGTATGTGGACTATTCCAGTATTCTGGCCTCTAGGCCTTTTTATTATGTAAAGATATGCAAATATATGGGATCTGTGGTAGCATTGAAGAGAGTAACCCACTTATTAGTCCCCAAGTCCTGTAAAGTTTGCATTTTAAGCCTTTGGAATTGTTTATCACGTTAGCTGGAAGCCCCACTAGCATTAATATTTAAATGATTATCACCTAATTGACAATGAAAGCTTGGTTGAATTTTGTTATCCTCGGGAACCTGACTTTGTAACCAACAGGCATTTTTCGTGCACTTAGAAATACATTATTGTAAACAAACTATTCACTTTTTCATATGGTGCGACTTAAAAACTTACTGTTGATTAAAATGTTTCTTAAATGTGAATTCTTTTTGAGTAAGTTTACTCTTTTAAAGTGAGATAATGGAAACAGTTTATATTCACAGTTAAACATACTAAGTATAAAACAATGTTGATTATATTTGAATTCTTGCATGTATATATGTTTGTCTTAACCTTATTAGTTTCATATTTGACCCATTTATTGATAAAAAAAACAACTGGTATTCATGTTCAATTTCTATTTAACATCATGTCAAGAAGAAAGTCCAATCCATGCCCTCTTGGAGTGATCCTTGGAGTGATAAAAGTGCCAATAAATGTTTATATTTTTTGTGTAAATGTCCAGCCATTCATACAGAATTTAATTTTTTGACTGCTGATGCGTATATCTTTTAGTAAAATATCATAATACATTCAGGTGTCTGGCTGACCACCAATAACAAGCTCTTTGACCACTCAGATATTAAATCAGGGGTCACAAAAATGTCTTTACCCTTCATGTGAATAGGTTACCTAGAATTGTAATTTTCCCATGGAATCTTCATTATTGGTCTGAAGCCATCTCGGGTATTGACTCAGTCACTGAGAATTTGTTTACCCACAGTGATACTCCATATTCAAGTGACCTTACTCACCTTAAGCGTTGACCTTCAGGTAGGACAGGTATTGTAAGTACATCGGCTGTAATTGTCACATAAACACCGACAGGGTTATGTATGAGCCTAATGTCAATAAGATCATCGGTCAGTGCCGATTGGAATCTAAGCTGATCTTTGATCTATGTCCGATTAAATTTGTTTTACATAGATTTATTAGACTCGTATGATGTAGCTATGTTTACTTTTGCCTATGTATGAATGGTCGTATTATTTGGCGCACTAACCTGGTTGAGAGCCCTTTACAATGCCGGTCACTCATGGCGTTCACATCAGCATTTAAACTTACTTTATCAAAATGGAGAAAATTAGATTGGAGCAATTTGCCTTTGATAATGGAAAGAACCACAATTTATAAGTTTGGATAAGTAACAGTGGTTTCTGTATCGTTAGATCGCAATCCACTGAAAGTGAAAAGGCACAGTCATGGTTCGTAGACGTAATCTATGTTATCTGATCAAATTATCAGATAAAAGGTACGTTATATCTTTTGAAGCAGTGGGTAACAAAATACTGCAAAAAATAACAATTTAGGTGCATAACATACTGGCTGATACATTACATTAATAGATGCTTTTAAGACAGCTTTCAATGTGTGATATTTGCCATTAAACATGATACGTGTAACAGAAGCTGCTAGGGGGTATAATTTACTGTTCTGTTGGTATGACTGTAACCCAGGTGTTCTCGGCCTTAGGTTTCAATCTTCTGTGTTGGATTTGAAGAAGAAGAGGAGATTGCATGATTTTGGTCTGGGTGAACAACAGACATGTCTTACTACAAAGGAAGCTAAAATGAGACTACCTCTAGCTGTTACAAACGTTCTACAGATACACCAGTATTCGCTTGCCTAACATCTATTCTTTTGGGTTCCTCTATTGCATTCTTCAGGATCAAGTAAATGTTCTGCATGAATGATAGTTTTGTAAATTGTCCAGGTGGTCGTCTTTTCAGTCTAAAATTAACCAGTTTACTATAAATTACTTCCATCCTACCGAACACAAACATTGTTTTCAAATAATTCGCAAATATGTTTCAATGTGTTAGCCCTGTTGTTACTTTCATGGAGGCATGTCATATTTATTGTAATATTTACTATAACAATGATAAAACTTTCTTAAAAGTCAAGTTTTTAAGAAAATTATGTTGAAAATGGTTGAATGCCTGAATTTATTTGAAAGATGGACGGTTATTTATTATGAATGTGAAAACTGGAGCATGTCCAATAAACATAAGAGATTGGTGTCACTGTACTGCAGACAAACTTAACACTGCCCATTTCTTGACAACAGTACATTAGTTCTGTGGAATTTTCTCATTTAGTATATTTGTATGACAATAAAATGATAGCTAACTTTAACATTGTCGTCCTTTGCACAACTACATGCCCTGGTATACCTTTGTATATCAAGACTTTGTTGACAATATGAAACAACTTCTTTTATTTCTTTTGTAGTCCTCCCGAAGTCAACCGGCCATTGGGCTGAAGCAAACGCCTAAGACTCGGGTAAGTTGCTTATAAACTTAATAGCCATAAAGTCTTTTGCTGGTCTCAGATTCAATGAGCTTGTTTTACTGTACAATTAAAGTTTTTACATTGGAAAAGTTTTGTTTTTTTTGTTGATGGATTATACTGTTTTTCTAATGGAATCTAGACTCTGAAATAGTTATTTCTTTATTTTGGCAAGTCATTCTGACGTGATTAATCTAAATCAAAACTAATAAAGTTCCACTAAAATAAAGGAATTTTTCAGGATGTTGTGAGCTTTCCATTCTTATCATTTAAAATCTGTATGTGTGGTTTGATTGTAGTTTTTGAGTTCAGACGATTTCTGATGATATTGTGTGTAGGGACGACTCCTATCTACAGATGTTTCCCCCTGATCAATGTCATGCATGCTTTTTATGGTTGGGTACACACAATAACACCCTTATGGAAGTTTTCCAGTAGCTTTGACCAGATCATACTAAAAGTTTGGATTTCTATTAGTCTGCTCATGAAAGAGGCCCAGTAACTTCCATAAATTGTCCCCCATACAAACAGATTGTGTTTGGCGTGAACATTATTGAGGCTCAGAGAATTATTGCATGAAGTGAGATCCTTTGCACAAGGTATTGAGATCCTCCGAGGAACATCAATGGACTGCAGGAACATTTGATGTTATTTTCTGTATTTTAAAGGAGTCTGAAAATCTTAGGCTTAGGATTTTTGATAAGGTTCAATGCTATATGGCTTAGGAAACATATATGGCATGTGTTATCTTGTGTGAAGAAAGGATTGAATGCTTTGTGATGTATCACTAGGAAAATGTTTAACAATAACTATTAACAGATTTTATTGTACAGTATTACATATCCAAATACAAATATTGGTTTAAACTGTGACTTTAAAAGCTTAATTGATGGTGTTACAGGTAATTAAAATTGTTTTATGTTAAGATTTAATAAAAAATCAATTTACCAGATTTAACTAATGTTATAACTGGTTGAGAAAGTTTTATAGTGTCACAGACTTGTGGTTTTATATAAAGGTGTAAAAAAATGTTACTTCACAGAAAGTATATATTGTATGGTAAAAGGTAACTAAAATATACACTTATATGTAGAAAAAGTATTGCCGAATCATATATATCTGCACATTCTTCAGTAATTGAGGTAGATACTGCAGTACTGTGCATACCACATGCAAGGACAGAAATTGAAGATGAATAAAGTTTTATTTTTTGATGCAATGTGTACAGTAAATTCAAGCGGAAAAATGAAAGTTCTTACTGGACAAATCTGTCGGTGTTTAAGCTTAAATTCAGTTACTTATTAAGGAATGTTTTAAATAATTGAATGATTTCATTTTTGGAACCAAACAGATCTTATCTAATACAACGCCTTTTCTGTTCCCAAGTCATTTCCTATTTAAGTGACACCAATTAACATAAATATTATTTTGATAGCTGACATAGGCAGATTGAATTCAAGTGTATTGATTAAATTTACTAAGAGTAAGATCATAACAAGATTAATGCAGGTTGGTTATATTTATATAATTAGAAATATATCATCTCAGTAAATATTTTACAAGTAACTCAATTAGGATCAAACTGCTAAAACCATTGTATAATGTTATAACAGAATATCATGATATATCTGTGATACTTTAGTTTTATATCAGATTTTCATTGATTGTTATATATCGATTGCTGTAAGGTCAAAGGTAGGATAATAAAAAACAGATTTTCATGTTTCAAAAACAAAGTAAAGAAACAGATGTTTGTTTGTACAACCAATTTACAACAGAATTAATAATCTTCTCCTAACACCTCATTAGGATCTCTTTAACTTAAATAAAACATTGTTCTTGGTGGAGATTTGTTTGTTTAGTAATTGTCAACAAGCTTTGTTAATCTGTGTTTACCTGTTCTCACCTGTACTGATAGCTTAACACAACACTAATGAACATTTGTCATAACTTCACTGATAGCAGGACACCTACCTGTGTGTCAATTTCTTGGTATTGTATTATAAATAGAGAGGCCTGTGTAGGTAAGGTTTCTGTAAGGACTCCTGCTGGGGAGATTTACAGGTAAGAAAGTCCCAGGTAGCTTTAACAGTAAGACTATCTCAGTTTGGCCTCTCATGTAGACAGATAGTACAGGAAGGTTGTAGTTGTGACAAGACCTAGGACATCAACAACGTACACATAGATTATCTGGATGAAGTTAGATTTGCTCAGTTATCCAAGTAAGATGTTAAAGAAGTGGTTTGACATTTCAGATTAGGTTAAACACAGATTAGCCAGGTAAATACATTGGTCTCTGTCATCCTGCTAGGGATGAAATGTTGCCTTGGTCACTATGATACCTGCAGCTATCATGTCTTACCTGCGCTCTGTTTACCTGTACATGTACTGCCGAGGGGTCATCAACTCCCCCACAGCACACAAAACATATATACTTACCTGAGTTATAGCTATCTCAACTACAAGGCTGGGAAGTCTAATTGCTGGTAATATACACATAGAAAATGTGATTTTATAGACTTGAAGGCAATCGTTTTTATGTTAATGTGTAAAAACTGTGGTTCTTGAAGGATATTTAGGCACCCACTGCTAACTATGATGCTGCATCCACATTTCAAAATTAACAGATGGGTATGTAGCTTAATTCTAATTGTCATTATCAAAACCACGGAATTAGATTGCTATCTAAGTCCGTGTCATAACAAATATTTTACTGTTTGTACAAGCCGGGCTGAAATAAAGTTTAAAATCTGCTAGTGAATTAGGTATATATATATATATAGATATTATGTACACTGCCACAACATGTATAACTATCAAAAGATATGGTAAATATATCACTCGGCTCATGTCGGCTTTAACTGTTTATGTATGTTTATATGTAAAGAATAAATTATTTATATAGACCAGCTTAATTACAATTACGTATATATCTTAAAGTAAACATTATTTCCTGAAGAATTTAACTGAAATATTTGTTTGTATAATTATTTGAAAGGAAAGATTTTACTATAATCAAATAACCGATATATAGATTTTATCAATTAACGGTCTGTTTTTGTATGTTATATATATATTATTGTTTATTACCTTGTATATAGCTAGGTCAGTGCACTCCAGGTGTGTGTTCTATTTAAAAGAAACGATGAAAAAGACATTCAACCTGGGATACAATTTCCTGTTACTATTTTTTGCAAATTGTTTTATTTCTGTGATTTAATTCATTAAAAATCTCTGTGGGATGTTGTCGGTGGTATCATGAATGGAGCAATAAACCTCTTTTTTTCTTACCACCGGCATTCCCGATTATCCGATAAGAAATATATCATTGCTGTCTTCTGTACTGTTGCTCCATCAAACAACCTGTTTTGTAACTTGAAGCTGTTTCTCTATTCAGAGGAAAATTAATCTGTTTATTGCTCTCCCAGAGACTAGATGCTATCTTTAGGTATTTTTGAAGTTAATTTTGGCAGCTAATGGAATCTGATTCTATCCCCTTTTATTCAGTGTTCCGACAATTAAACAGAACGGAGCCTCTTCCCTCCCATACTACTAACAACCTGATAAACACACAAATTGGCCGTACACTATTTAAAGGAGTAGACGTTTTGTATGGGGAAGCTTGGCACCACTTCCAGTGGAGATGTCAAGCCAACTGTTGTGTAGTGTATCTATTAGCTCCTCCTCCTCCCCAGCACCCATGATTATCTGATAACCAGAATATATTATACAGACTTAAACTGGCAAATTTTGTGCAAATTAAATTGCTTACCGAAATTCCTAAGAGAAGCTTCTACTGTCTCTATTTTCAATATTTAATAAATTGGTTGAATTGCATTTTATAAATTGATTTTACATATAGATTCCCCAGAAAATTGCTCAGCTGAATTAATTTTAGATCAATTCCCATGAGAGTTGATTTGTTAGAGCTGCATGAATTCCTGTAGAATATCGGGGTATTCCCTTTCTGTCTCCCCAGGTTCCTGCTTTGGTCTTTTACCCAAAGGAGAGTTTTGTTGGTGTGGTGATCGATGGGAATTGACAAAGGGTAGATTAGGGTAAGATGTCAAAGGTCAACACAATTTTCCAATAGATTATATTGATATGGGTCGAAGTAGTTCAGGGCTCCAAGGTTTGATGACTTAACGCATTCATCCCGGAAAACACATTTGAACTCTTCCATTTCAAAGCTTGGTATAGTTCATTATGAAATTTCAGGGGTTAATGAGTTAATGAAATATGTATTTATTATTTCCAAAAATAACTTGCTATGGTTTCGATATTACTTAATTATGCAATTAGAGCATTAACAATAACAAACATTTCACCATTAAGTTAATTCTTGTTTCCTGTTTAACAAAAAAAAAAAATGTTTCCTCAAATCAATCATTTCTCCAAGGACCTTGACTTACAGCTAAAGGATGTGAAATAATCTTCCATATGTGACAAGATGGATGTAATGATACTTGTGCCACTACGGTATGCTGAGCAGTTTTTTAATTGCCGTTTCTCCTTCAATCCCCTCCCTGTTCCTTCCCAGAACATCCACTAGCCTATTTCTCCACCACTATAGTACTGCCTGATGATGCCAGTGTTCCAGGGTAGTGTAAAACCCAAGACAGAAAAATTGATTTTTTTTTCTTGTCTTTCCCCTGCATTGATATTCACCAACTTATGGCATTCAAAGTGACACAGAGGATGATCATGTGTTAATAGTTAAGTGGGGTTAGGCCAAGCAAAACAAATCTCAATCAGTTCTGTTTCTTACAATGCATAATTAATTTGTACAATATTTCATACCAGTGCAATTATAATGCAATATATTTTAGATTGAACCTTTGTTATTTTAATTTGCGTCATGGTTTATAAAATCTTTACTAATTTTCTGTTATGGATAAAAGTATCATCGGATATGCTAAAATGTACCTGACTGCTTTGAGCTCCGTGAATGAACTCTGGAAATAATGCACCCATTTGACCCCATAAGAGTTGCTGCAGTCATTCTTATTTTGCGCACACACAGAAATGAGGAAGGTGAAACTCAAAAAGCTATAAAGAAAATGATGAAGTCAATGATTCATTATTTTTTTTATTTTTTTTAATTCTAGCTAATATGTTTAAACCTTTAAGTACCCGTTGTGGGGTATGTAAGTGCACCTGCATTTGTGGAGAGGGTAGGGTTGTACTATCGACTTTGAGTAGGTAGGGCTGCGATATAAGGGGTATTGTATTTGATAAGGTGTACATGTTCAATCCTGGTGATTCATTTCACTATGAATCATGTGTTGAGTTGACATTGGCTAAAAATAGGAGTTGGTGAACGGTATATTGCATCAGGTAGTCCATCACAGGGTATTCTGTTATCTACAATTCATCTGGTATAAATACACAGGTGTCCACTTGATTCTGTTAAATATTCGTTTTCAGTCACACATCCTGGCAAGGTAATAACAATTACAAGCATATTGTACATTAATTCCAAGTATATATTGTGTACATACATGATTAACAGTGAAGACTTCCAGACAGTCAAATTATATAATCCATATGGCCATCACAGATGATGACATGTTTATTACACAAAATTATACAGCTTATGGACTGACCAGGTAATGGACCAGACAGACCTACAGTACTGTGATAGTCTGAAAACTAGAATAGGTCTGATTGTAATAATGCTATAAAATGATTATTAGGTAGATAAACAGAAAGAAGAAACTCAAATTCTCTAAAAGAAAAAACAAAAATTCTTGTCTAAACGAAGGTACCTGCATGCACAGGTCAGTTTTGTTCATAAACAGGTCAATTGAGTGACCCTCAGATAGTATACAAGGTCGACCTGTCCAGTGACCCACAGAGCTGTCCTAGCACTGCTGAGCTGTTTGGCATCCTCCCAGCACCAGTCTCCCCCCTCCATCTCCCCCCTCCTCACAACCATTCCTCCCCCTTGCCCCCCTCCCACTACTAGTGGACTAGCCCTATGTAAATACATCAGGTTTTTTCCCCACAACTGTATGAGCCAGGGAAGACTCCCCCACATCCTGCTGCCTGGTGGAAGTTTCCAGCAGCTATGATGATTTTGAGCTATAGCAGAAACTACTACCACTAGTATCCCACCATGCTTCTAGCACTTTAGGAAATGGGACCGATTTGGAAATGATTCCAGGGGAATGATGGATAACCTTGGTTGAGTGTTTTGGAGGGACATTTCCTGAATGGTGCAATACATTCTTGCTGTTTTACTACTGAGATGGAGATGCTGTTGCCTAATTGTATTGTGTAGTCAAGTGGTGGTTCTCTATTGATCTGACTGTGTATTATATTGTGTGTTGTTAGCCATAATCATTACCGATGATAACTCGAGTCTTGTCAGTCTTCAAGGTAAGTGTCCTGTTGATGGTGTCAGTGGCAGTATTACACACCTGTACAGTACAGAACAATAAATATGGAATGTATGGCAGGAATAGGGGGACATAAGAGGCATGGGTTAATTGTGCAGTGTTCCCATTGCATTTTAGATCTGTCGATATATTTGATGCATTTTCAAGATTCTGCACCCCTAGATAATCATACTTATAGTTACATCAGACAATTGATGAAAACTAGGGGAACGTACATTAACTATCTGTTTTGGGGGTGAAAACCCCTCATTTGGGGGTTTCTGGTAACACACTGATATGTCAGGATGAAATTGAATGGTGATCATTCAATAAATGTCAACTTAGATTTTTACATTTTTTTTTAAATGTTAATTTACATAAGAATAAAAGTGTAGCAATTAATACTATTTTACATCATTTAGTTAAATTTCTTCCAAAGGACTTCAGCCCAAAAATCCTAACAAGTTGACAGCTTGTGGTAGCTATAGGCCTGATCAGAAAAATATACTGGGTATAAAACCAGTGGTATGTATGTCCAGACCTGATCTGAGAAATATTTGTGAAAATCAAACATATATATAGGTACATATATATGTAAATGAATAATGAAAGGTAAAAAGGCAAAGTATAACTTGTGTGAACTAATGCTACACACTTTATAGTGAAAATATTTTTGAAATGAAAAATAACATTTATTTAATCTTCCTCAAGTTTGTTTGAATTAAAATCCAATATTTTGACAGGAGATGAGATAAAAATTGTAGGTTATGACACAGGTTTGTCACAGAACCTGTTTGTTATAGTCTATCTGTAACAAACCTGCCACCACTCCAGCTTATACCTAAACTCATTACAGATAACAATCTAGATCTATATAGTATTTGTCCCCTGGTCAATATGCTCTGGTCACTTACAGAAATCTTAATCTCAAATGTTGTTGACATATTTTAAAGATTGTTCAGTATACCTTCCGTATATACCCTCAGGTCATTTACAGAGATTTAAAATGGTGTTGACATTCTAAAGATTTCTCTCAAAACCTCATAGAGATCACCAGAGATATCTATGACGATAATAATTGTATTATTTACATTTAGCCAGTGGTCAGCTAGAGGTATTAAAACTACTCTGTTCATCTCTGTTGTCCATTTGTAGTATGGGAAACCCAGCTTATAATATATAAAGCAGTGCTTGTGATTGACAAGTGGACACTTGAGGTGTGTAGCTCTCTGGCCATGTATACTGGACCTTATCTAGTCAGCATTATTGACTGTTAATTGCTGAATAAAGATAAAGTATGTCAATATGAATTGTATACTGACAGTTTGGTGGCCTGCTCTCACAGTGGATGTTTATTAGGGCTGGTGTACAGTTTGGCTATTGTTCGGCCAGTATTGGAGTGTACAGACAATGACAATTTTTAGTGTCTTCACGTGTCATATCGCTGAAATAGTTCACAATCTTGTGTGTGTTAGATAGGTTCCCTGGGATTACATGTATACCTCAACACCATTGTGTTACAAAGTCCTGGCAATTTATCAGACATTTGTTTGATTTTTCAGCCAACAATATTTGGAACCATTGCGAAAGAGAAAACGGCCCAGGAAGATTCCAGGGTGGTAAGTATACTTACATTTGATAACATTACACGATCTTTGTTAATATATATATATGTGTCTAGATCTGAATATGAATTGATTGACTTTTTTCTCAGAGAATGTTACTGAATTCCATTGCTAGACTGGGTTGTGTTTTTGTATTGTGTAATGATTTATACTTGGTGCTCTACGTTCATAAAACAGATTTGGTGCTCAATGGATGGTGTTCAAAACTCAAAGGATTTTCATAGACTACTTTATTAGAAGGTGAAAGGATATCTCACATTTCATCTTGGAATTTTATCTTGGGACCTCTAAGAAGTATGAAAAAAATCATCTGAGGTTCATTGGAATATCTAAATTGATGATATAATACCCTGACAAGGGCTTTGGAGAGTTCTCTCTCTGAGTTCTGTTAGATGTAGTATCAGAGGCCGGTAGTATCCCATTTGAGTATTATTCCACTGTAGGCATGCCACAGAATTACAGAAAATTGCCTGGTTACTCTAATTTACATTTAGTAAAACAGTTAATCTGATCTGATATCTTGAAGGTTGATTAAGATGCATTAGTTTGGCTCCAGGCTCCAAGGAGTTACGAAAAACAAAATGAAGAAATGTCAGACTGGAATCACAGTATTTAATCAACAAAATTACTTTCCCTATTACCCCAATCAAGTAGATTACCAATACTTATATATACCTACCTAGAACTGATTCAAACTCGAAAAAAATAGGAAGGATATATAGGCACCAGTGTAATCAGAGCGACTCCAAAGAATGCTGTTACCTGACATACAAAGCATTTGGTTGCTATGGAGATTGACTGAATTTTGAAATATCAAGCAGTGACTAAGATACAGAGCCATAAATTAACTGGGTTCAGATTCATCAAACGTTAAATAATTAATCATGCTGTCTGCTGCAATCTCCTGTTTTCAGTGGAATTGGAAACAAGGTGATGGTGGTGATTTGCCTTGTAGGGGCTGTAACTGTGGGTAACAAAGGGCATAGTTACCCTGGCTGTTAATTTATCACTGATCCCCTGTATAAGGGTGCCCTGGAGAGTAATCAAGGGGAGATAACTTGAGATTATGTACATCAGCTGAGAATGAAATGAGTGTATTGCAGTAACAGTGTCAGATTGGTGTTCACCAGATGGACAGTGTGGGGGTGTAATTACTAGAGGGATGTTTAGGTACATTACATAGTTTGCTCTGGTTACAACATTTCCCTGTGTTTCTTACTTTAAGAGTAACCACTTTTAAAGCTTAAAGATGTTACTGATAATACGCCCACTACTTTACGTTTATATATAGGGGCATAAGGACTTTTCTCTCCAGAATTTGTATCATTTCAATTTGATGTTCCTATAATGTGGAATTCTTTTATGAAATCTTTGTGATATACATGTGACTTACTATTATCCCAGTCCAGCCACTTTGCTCTTGGATACTCGCCTCTATATGAGCTGAGGTCACATGTGATCTGCTTTTTTGTCCTAATATCAGGTCACATGATGATCTGTAGTTATTGCCTATAATTTGGGGGTATGTTGCACAATAACATACAATTTTGCGATTATCAAATAGTGAAAAGGGATTAAATATTTTTTATATTTATTATCACCTTGCAATATTGACTTGGCAATATTTTAAACAGAATTCAATCCTGTGATTCATGGTGAAATTGAAGTCATGAATACAGTAGTTTGTGCTGGTGTTTCATACTGTATGTATTTTGTATGTAACATTCCCATTTAATCCTCTGAAAATTACTGTGTAGTTCTCAGATTTTTGTCATGGTCTCAAATTGACTCCCCAGGCGCTTATAGCGTGGACCTGGCTTACAGTTGATGTGGCCTAGATTTACCAGGGAGTAGTGGTAATCACAGGGTCTTAAGATCTAATTAGACAGTGTGTAAACTCCTAGGAGACATGGTGCCCCCTAACTGTTGCCATGTGTCCTTGTTTAGGTTTGATGTGCCAAGTCCAGCCCATTGACAGAGCCACTAATCTCATTACATCTCTGATACAATAAATTACTGCACAACCCTATTTTCATTAGCTCACTTATAAAATATACATCTACAGATTTAACTCAATTTGGTCTGTAATGTTAGTCAGTATCTTGCCTCATGATCTCGTCCTAGGAAGAGCTCCAAGTTTGTTGCTTCAATCATTAGCATCAGGGAAAACAGTTGATGGTAATTTTGTTAAAAGCAATTAGGTACCTTATGCTGGGAAATTTGTGTAGGGGAATGTGAGGATATACCACAGTTCCAACAGTCAATTTATCACAAAACCTTCCACATCATTTTGAGGTCTTTTTTAATTGTTAGTTTCCCTGCTGTCTGTTGAAGCATGGAGAAGATCTACAGGGCCAATGTTTCTAACTTCATCATCATATGCTCAAACTCCGATTCCTTGCTCAAATTCAAATTCTTTTTATTTTCAAAATGCGAAAGTACTTGATACATTTTATTTTTTGTTTCCATTATACTATGAGTCTGAAAGTTGTCAACTTAATTTCCTTTTTTTGATTGTTTTCCTTACGAACCCTTTGCAATACATTTTATTTGTCTTGATCTAAGGAAAGTTGGTTTGAGCATATTACGTCAGATTAAGTACAGGAATGGTTTTATAAATATGGGGCCCGATTAAATGATCTTTATGCATGTCTATCATGAGTATTTCTAAATAAAGTGATGTGAAATGTCAAATGAAAATTCTGAAGATCGTTTTATTAGAAATAAAAACTACGCTTTCGAGTTGACCATATAATGGTCAGAGGCAGCCAGACAGTCTTCATAAAAATGCTAAATACAGTTTGCAGATCATAAGTGTTTTATGTAAGCTGAAGGCCTTCAACGTTACACAAAGCATTAGCTGTTCCTATGGGACGAAGCTTAGAATGTAGATAATGCATGCTAAGCTTTTTATCTCCTGAAATATTCCAGCAGATTTTGAATCATTAGTGCTCTGTTTATTTGCATGTTAAAGTATGGGAGTTATTATCCAGCACCCACTCTACAGAAACGGTACAGACAAGTCTACTCAGCCTCTGCCTGCAGCTGACTGATGCTCATTTTCAACTATTTGATCGATGAATATGGGCGAAACGCTTGCTTTGTTATGTGAAGGAAGATGTTGTGCAAGGTCTAATTGATGAAAATAATACATTATTATTCAATTAATAATGATGAAAAGTTTTGCTGCAACCCTGAATGTTTCACTCATAGATTGAAATTCTCGTTTCATAAAATAAGCGAGCTTCTAGGCATCAATTTATTTATTTTCCCTAAATGAGCGATCTTTTCAACAGCTGTTAACATGATTGTGATAGGTTTATATTATGAAATGTGACAGCTGCCCATTTCATTTTCAAAAGTTCAGTTATTATTTGCTACCAACCTTAATGGAAAGCTGGTATTATAATTATTACACATGCATTATATATATATACTATTTCACTCCCAGTCTCTGATGTTGTTAAAGTTCAAGTAGTAGTGATCTAAGTTTTGTTTAAAAGAATGTTTCCTTTAACTTCTTAACCACAGACCTAACAAAGCTGTCAACTATGTCTATAGTCCTACGTTCATGCAAATTTCCGCTCCATATATGTGCAGAAAGTAGTGATCAACCGTTCTATATTCAGATCTTGATAGGAAATAACCTCTTGTTTCATGGCAGGAAATTCACACTCCAGGTTAGAGCAGTTGTCTTTTTCTTGCACTTGTGACGACTAATTGTTCCCATGCACATGTAATACTAAATACAAAAGTGTTTCGTGAAACAATCAACATGTGACTATACATACTTAACAAGTGTACCCTGTGATTTCATTGGTTGAAATATTCAAATACATGTATTTTGAAACAGAAATTCCCAAATTAAGAATTTCTTGATATCCAGGTTTTTCTGAATAAAAAATCTTCATGTGACTGTTTTTATAAAATGCTGCAGCTATTACGTACTTCACCCTCTGCTTTTTTTTCTTCTTTTTAAAACTAAAGATAAAATTAGGTTCTGTGGTAGAGGCTATTTGATAAATATGAAGAATATGAATATCAGAATGAAATTTGTCGAAAAAACCTGCAATATTAGAACCCAGATGTACAATATTTTGAAGAAGCTTTTAAGATTTACCGGTAATTGGCATTTCCGTGAGCTGACAGATTGACGAGTTGGTACCTGGTACTATGTCAGCAATTACAGATAAAACAGGTAGCTACATTTTTGCACCTCAGGTCTACCTGTTATATAAGATGTGTATCAGACAGAACAGGTCTGGCTGGTGCCATCTCAGTGTGTGTCATATCTCATTCATCTCTCTGTGTATCTTCCTCTGTCTAGTCTCTTCTGCTTCCCCCTTGTACAAATATACTCCCCTCCCCCCACCAAACACCCAATGTGATACACCATTAATTTCATCTGTAGCCTTACTGTATCTGACTCAACTGTATATTACCCCCTCATTATAAAAGTGCCCCTTCCTTGTCAAAGTTTAACCCCTCTGAAATATTAACCCCTCACTAAAAATGTATCCCATCTTTGTCCAATCAATCTGTTTACCTTTTTTTCTGGAATTAAGTCAAAGGGATCTCTTCTGATTATGAGTGCTCCCTCCCATTCTGTCTTACAAAATTACTTCTACCACAAGTATCTGCCTCAATAAGTGAGAATATATATATATTACTGTATATTATGCATATAGTATATTACCCATTTTTCCCTAGCCATAAACCTGTGCATCTTTCACCACTTACCTGTGCCTCTTTCACCATTCACCAGTACCTTCAGTGATTTTTTTTGGTCTATAGTTTTACAGCCAAATGCATGCAGGCTTATAGTTTTCTCCTTGCAAAAATGGGCTTAATTAAGAAAACATTAAGAAAATTAAGAAAGCAGGAATGTCTTNCCCCCCCCCCCCCCCATCTCCTTATCCCCCCTATGCACCTTCCACAACCTCATCACTACCTAAACAGTGCCTCCCTCTGTATATATTATCCCCTCCCTGTGG